CTGGGCAGCTTGCGGCTGTGCTTCCCTTTGTAGTCTGTAATAGTTTTCAAGCCCTGCCACATCCGACGAGCGTTAGAGCCGGTGTAGTACGATTCAATCTTAGTCCTGTATTGACTCTTTGCCTGTTTGATCGTTGGTCGGAGGGCATAGCAGGATTTCTTATAAGCGTCCGGGTTAGAGTCCCGCTCCTTGAAAGCGGCAGCTCTACCCTTTAGCTCAGTGCGGATGTTTCCTGTAATCCATGGCTTCTGGTTGGGGTATGTACGTACGGTCACTGTGGGGACGACATCATCGATGCACTTATTGATGAAGCCAGTGACTGATGTGGTGTACTCCTCAATGCTATCTGAAGAATCCCGGAACATGTTCCAGTCTGTGCTAGCAAAACAGTCCTGTAGCTTAGCATCTGCATCATCTGACCACTTTTTTATTAACCGAGTCACTGGTGCTTCCTGCTTTAGTTTTTGCTTATAAGCAGGAATCAGGAGGATAGAGTTATGGTCAGATTTGCCAAATGGAGGGCGAGGGAGAGCTTTGTATGCGTCTCTGTGTGTGGCGTAATGGTGGTCTAGAGTTTTTTTCTCCCTCTGGTTGGACATTTAACATGCTGGTAGAAATTAGGTAGAACGGATTTAAGTTTCCCTGCATTAAAGTCCCCGGCCACTAGGAGCACTGCCTCTGGATGAGCGTTTTCCTGTTGACTTATGGCCTTATACAGCTCATTCAGTGCAATCTTAATGCCAGCATTGGTTTGTGGTGGTAAATAGACAGCTATGAAAAATATAGATGAAAACTATCTTGGTAAATAGTGTGGTCTACAGCTTATCATAAGATACTCTACCTCAGGTGAGCAAAACCTCGAGACTTCCTTAGTATTTGATTTTGTGCACCAGCTGTTGTTTACAAATATACACAGACCGCCACCCCTTGTCTTACCGGAGTCAGCCGTTCTATCCTGCCGATGTAGCGTATAGCCCACTAGCTGTATGTTGTCCATGTCATCGTTCAGCCACGACTCGGTGAAACATAAGATATTACAGTTTTTAATGTCCGTTGGTAGGATAACCGTAATCTTAGGTCATCCAATTTATTCTCAAATGATTGAAGATTGGCTAATAGGATTGATGGGAGAGGCAGTTTACTCACTCGCCGTCGGATCCTTACAAGGCACCCCGACCTACGTCCACGATATCTCCGTCTCTTCCTCATGTGAATGACAGGGATTTGGGCCTTGTCGGGTGTCTGTAGGATATCCTTTGCGGCCGCCTCGTTGAAGAAAAAATCTTTGTCCAATACGAGGTGAGTAATCGCTGTCCTGATATCCAGAAGCTCTTTTTGGTTATAAGAGACGATGGCAGAAACATTATGTACAAAATAAATTATAAATAACGCGGAAAAACACACATAATAGTACAATTGGTTAGAGGGCTGTAAAACGGCAGCCATCTTCTCCGGCGCCAGATATAGGACTTGTTTTACTGTGGATATAGATACTTTTGTACCTGTTTCCTCCAGCATCTTCACAAGGTCCTTTGCTGTTGTTCTGGGATTGATTTGCACTTTCGCACCAAAGTATGTTCATCTCTAGGAGACAGAATGCGTCTCCTTCCTGAGCAGTATGACGGCTGCGTGGTCCTATGGTGTTTATACTTGCGTACTATTGTTTGTACCGATGAACGTGGTACCTTCAGGCATTTGGAAATTGCTCCCAAGGATGAACCAGACTTGTGGAGGTCTACAATTATTTTTCTGAGGTCTTGGCTGATTTCTTAAGATTTTCCCATGATGTCAAGCAAAGAGGCACTGACTTTGAAGGTAGGCCATGAAATACATCCACAGGTACACCTCCAATTGACTCAAATGATGTCAATTAGCCTATCAGAAGCTTCTAAAGCCATGACATCATTTTCTGGAATTTTCCAAGCTGTTTAAAGGCACAGTCAACTTAGTGTATGTAAACTTCTGACCCACTGGAATTTTGATACAGTGTATTATAAGTGAAATAATCTGTCTGTAAACAATTGTTGGAAAAATTACTTGTGTCATGCACAAAGTAGATGTCCTAACCGACTTGCCAAAACTATAGTTTGTTAACAAGAAATGTGTGGAGTGGTTGAAAAACAAGTTTTAATGACTCCAACCTAAGTGTATGTAAACTTCTGACTTCAACTGTATTCTTAAATTCCATTCCTTACTAGATCTGTGTGTATTGGGTATATGTTGTGAAATTGTTAGATATTACTGCACTGTCGGAGCTAGAAGCACAAGCATTTCGCTACACCCGCAATACCATCTGCTAAACATGTGTATGTGACAAATAAAATTTGATTTGATTTGTGTGGTTCCCACTGTGAAGCATGGAGGAGGAGGTGTGATGGTGTGGGGGTGCTTTGTTGGTGACACTGTCAGTGATTGATTTATAATTCAAGGCACACTTAATCAGCATGGCTACCACAGCATTCTGCAGTGATACTCCATCCCATCTGGATTGCGCTTAGTGGGACTATCATTTGTTTTTCAACAGGACAATGACCCAACACACCTCCAGGCTGTGACCAAGAAGGAGAGTGAATGAGTGCTGCATCAGATGACCTGGCCTCCACAATCACCCGACCTCAACCCAATTGAGATGGTTTGGGATGAGTTGGACCGCAGAGTGAAGGAAAAGCAGCCAACAAGTGCTCAGCATACAGTACCAGTCAAAAGTTTGGTCACAAGTACTCATGCAAGTGTTTTTCTTTATTTTTTACTATTTTCTACATTGTAGAATAATAGAGAAGACATCAAAACTATTAAATAACACATATGGAATCATGTAGTAACAAAAACAGTGTTAAACAAATCCAAATATATTTCTGTATATTGTCTATTTTTAGTTGAACCATGGGTTGAATTGAAACAATTGCTGTTGATGACTTTGCAACGTTGATTCAACCAGTTTGTGCCCAGTGGGATGTGTCTAATAGTTTACACTAACTGCTTCTCACAGTGTTGCGGGATTTCTTAAATGTTTGGGTTTTCTGTGTCCATCCTGTTTAGATAACACTATTCACTTCCAAAGCTATGATGACAGAAATGTTGAATACTATATTATTATTACCAGAACTTACATTATAGTATTTTGTGCACCCATTAATAGCCTATACTATTTTTCAAGATATAGGCCGCTAGGTGTTGTGTTGTGCGTATTTACACGAATAGGCCTGTATCTCCTCCTGAATGCAATGTCCTCATGCCATTGGCCTAGGCTACTTATTATTCTAAGTGGGATTTATTAACAGTTATTTCCCGTTTTCACAATCACAGCTTGCAGCATTGGAATGCAGTTCAAGTCGTCTATATGCACCCTGTAGAACCGAATTTGTGTTAACAATACACAACCGCAAATTCGCCTCTACGGGAATACATGGGCGATTTCAATACCTCAGCTGTGTCAGGTAGAACGTCCGTCAAGAACATTTGATAATGCTTCAATGGATGTGAGCAAAAGTCTAACCTTTGGAAGATAGAGAAGGAGATAGAAGATGGGGTTGCCAAGAGAGCGAGGGGGAGAGAGGGAGCAAGATAGAGGGAGAGAAGAATGGTCTAAGAAACCGTAAAGAACGCATGCAAGCGGGGATCATTTGAAGCTATTGATTTACTGCTTTTTACAGCCCAATAAAACTCAAACAACATTCAACCAGGAGCCTTCAACATCAGCGGGCGGGCGCACGATTCTAATAAATAAGCCATGCTAACTTTTATGTGTCGTTTTTATTTATATCCAATAAAAACGGACACAGCAATGATGCCTATTATTTAGGAAGTAGAGACAGTTAAGCTGGAGGTTCAGCTCTCAGTCGCTCTGATATAGGATTGTGAGGGGGACTCCTTCTGTAATCCGCCAGGCCATTATCACTCTTAGGGTCATTATACAAACAATAACTTCTAGTCCATTGCAAGTACAGCTGCCATGAAGGCTACTCCTACTATTACCACCCCTACCACGACCTAATGCTAGACTATTCTGTCTTTGGTCTTCACAAGATGGTAAAAAATTGCAATGACAATATGTTTGTTGTAATAACAAGGCTAAATCAAATCAAATTGTATTGGCCACATGCGCCGAATACAACAGGTGTAGACTTTACAGTGAAACGCTTACTTACGAGCTCATTCCCAACAGTGCAGTAATGGTCTAATAGCCTATTACGCATAATATTATAATTATTAGCCTATTCATATCGTGAGAAGTAGCATTAGCAGTAGGCCTACTATTACCCTATTAGTGGGCTAGTACTGGTAGTAGCATCATCCTCACTGGTTTAGAATGCTTGATTGATGTGTTAATTTACAAATTGTTGAATTATCCAATTGCGTACCGGTCTCCAAAGGATTGTCTTGTCGATGATCGATACTGCCCAATTAATTAGAGGTTTAGTGTGTTATCGTAAGAATGTGGTCCTGTTTTCCCAAAATCCCCTTTTTCTCCAGATAGGCCTATCTGCTTTCTTATATCAATAAGTGTTAGCCATTGGGTTATGAGTATGACTGCGTTCTGCTGTAATGGTTTAATAATGGAGTGGTTTATCTGTGCGTAACTGCATAGTTCACATCACCTTACTCCATTGTTACATTGTTCTGTTTGTTTTTGTGTTTTCCGAGTCATGTCACTATACCTTTGCTCAGCCTCAGTCCCTGTCTGAGATGTATCTCTTCCCGCATACTCACACAGCCTCCCACTGACCTTCGCCTCTTTCTGCCCTATTCAGTCATTTCATACTGATCTTCATCGAAGCGCCGAGGCCTAACCTCGAGAAAACACTCTCACACCTATACAAAGGGTACACAAATATTATAATTAACATTTAGTTCCTTATCCGGGAACTATCTCGCCAGCTGCCATTGGACTGCTGTGTCACGTGGTTAAAGTAACTTTACAGGGTCGCTTGCTAGTAGGAGGGCTTTATGGACCAGAAAAACGACAAAGGTAGAAAAAATATTTTTCACTCCAGAAATTAATGATCATGAGCTCGTATTTGATGGACTCTAACTACATCGATCCGAAATTTCCTCCTTGCGAGGAATATTCACAAAATAGCTACATCCCAGAACACAGCCCTGAATACTACAGCCGCACGAGAGACATTGGCTACCAGCATCCCCACCAGGAGTTGTATCCTCCGCGAGTGACCTACCAGGAGCGCCCGTATAACTGTGTAAGCATCCCCGAGCCCGAGCCCCAGACTGGCCATGGGCTTACACACTCGGGGAATCTGCTCGCAGGGAAGGTACAGACAGCTCCACGTGAGCCCTTGCCACTGTTACCCACATCCCCTACGTCCCCACCGACTGCGCCGCCTGCCTACATCCAAGCCACCCCGGAGCATCCCATCAGCTCTACCTCGGCTAAGCAGCCTGTAGTGTACCCATGGATGAAGAAAATCCACGTCAGTACCGGTAAGCAATCTGTGTTGTTATTCTCATAACTCGCTCTCCCTCCCTCTCGCACACTCTCTTCCCCTATTTCACCCCTATTTTACCTAGATCGCCCGCCTCTATCCGTCTCGTGCTATGTAAGTTGTGATAGAGCAGCCCCTTTGAAATGGCACATATGAGGAGGATTTACGAGTCAGCATTGGCAATTACACCCGCCATAAATTTTATAGCGGAGGCACTAGTCTGGACAGCCGTATTGCCATGTGGCTTTTTCTGTTATGTAGCCTATGTGTCAGAGGGAGGAGAGAGTGAGAGAGAAAAAGAGGGCTAAGAATTTATTTATTTGTAATGTTGAATAAATAATTCAGCTGCTCCCTCGCCGTGGAGAAAGTGCTACCCATTATATAGACCACGAGTCGAGTCCATGACTGTGAAATATTTGATTGGGGTCTAGATAATAGTGATACCACTCTCCATTCACCGCGCTATTTCTTTTCATATTTCAATTCACGCCAATCTTGCTTCCCTCCTTTTCCTTCTTCTTTTCAATTCCTTTCTCCTCTCTTTTCTATTTACCTCTCCAAACCTCTCAGCGAATCCCAATTACAATGGAGCAGACTCAAAGCGGTCCAGGACTGCTTACACTCGCCAGCAGGTCTTAGAACTGGAGAAGGAGTTCCACTATAACCGCTACCTAACTCGGCGAAGACGCATCGAGATTGCCCACACACTGGTTCTCTCCGAGCGCCAGATCAAAATTTGGTTTCAGAACCGAAGGATGAAGTGGAAAAAAGACCATAGGCTACCCAACACGAAAGTGAGATCCTCTTCCAACGCTAGCGCGATCTCCGGGTCCACCACAGCGTCAACAACAGCCAGCACTCTCCCTTGTGCGGTGGGCTCTAACACCGTGCCAGCTTCCGAGGAACTCTCTCGAGTGTCGGTAGTCGAACGAAACCAGGATATTACAAGGTTATAGACACACAATAATATCTGACAAATAGGAAGAAAAAACAACGAATTATTTATAAAAATACATATTATTTTTTATATATTTGTTCCTCGTAGTGTTCTTGTGCATAAACGGGGTTTTCCTCTCAGTCCACGGTTATTGACGTATGCATGTTATATAGCATGGATTACTGCAGATACCAATGCATTATTACGGTTATCAGGGTTAATTTATTTATGATAGGAATTGTTTTATTTTTTAGTAAAACATTTTTGACGAACAATAATGGACATTATCAATGTATTTGAATGTCAATAGACCTACATGCACAATAGTTTTATTTATTCTCTGAAAAATAATGGTAGGGTAATTTATTTATTTTTTAATCTCAGAAGTGACAGTAACAATAGCAAGTATACGTACCAGTAAAACAATATATTGCAATAGCCTACATGTGAATCAGTGAAATGTTGTGAATTATTTTTCAGCACAACCTCTTATCAGGAAAAGTACATCTTAGGTAATGAGTGTAGTGTGTTTTGTGATTACAATTTTGTGGTTTAGATTTATTTGAATTGATCAGATGCAACAAAATAAGTTTAGTGTATTTGTGATAATCGTAGTGGTCAATAAAACGAGTAGTTTAAAATACGTTTGTCATCTTTATTTACTTAAAAATACGTTTGTCATCTTTATTTACTTATTTAGCACAACAACCTATTCTATATACATATGGCCTAAACTATGTTTTGAAAGTTCATCCATGTAAGAGATGGGGAACACTTGAGCGTCCCCAATGCAAACGAAGAAGTACTCGGACCTTAAAGTGGTAGTCCTATATGTCATTGGAATAACTGATCGATAACTTCTCTTAGAACAATTCTATTCTTCTGTGAGTGAGAAGGGCAAAGTTTTTTCCGAGTCATCTCACATGAATAGCCATTTCAGAGCACCAAAAGGTAGAAAATATTTTTTACAATTTCAGATTAACATCATGCACTCTTAAAATATACCCCTCTAAATAGTTTGGGGTATAGGCTACTATTAAATTATTTTGGAGGTACATTGGTCCATATAGGCTATAGGCTAAAAGTCTCAGTGCTTATACCTTATAAAGTGGTCAATACTTTATCCATCATCAACTAACCAATCAAATAAAATTGTATTAATCACGCTTCATAAACAACAAGTGTAGACTAACAGTGAAATGCTTACTTACAGGCTCTTCCCAACAATGCAGAGAGAAAGAAAATAGCAAAATAATAGAAAAGTAAAACACATTATAATGAAAGTAATAATAAACACACAATGAGTAACGATAACTTGGCTATGTACATTGGGTACCAGTACCGAGGTATATGTACATATAACTAGGAATAAAGTGACAGATAATAAACAGTAGCAGCAGCATATGTGATGAGTCAAAAAAGTTAGTGCAAAAGCAGTCAATTAAGATAGTACAGGTAGCTGTTTGGTTAACTATTTAACTAACTATTTAGCAGTCTTATGGCTTGGGAGTAGAAGCTGTTCAGGGTCCTATTGGTGGTTAATACCTTCCTGTACAGGAGGTACCAGGGGGGACTAAGCATGCACCCCTGAGGGGCCCCATGTTGAGGGTCAGCGTGGCGGATGTGTTGTTGCCTACCCTCACCACCTAGGGGCGGACGTCAGGAAGTCCAGGATCCAGTTGCAGAGAGAGAGGTGTTCAGTCCCAGGGTCCTTAGCTTAGTGATGAGCTTGGAGGGCACTATGGTGTCAATATGACTGCTGATTTTGATGCTTAATTTCATAAAATGTATTTCCAACCAATGTTTGACTATACCAGCACAGGTGACGTCCATGTTTCAAGCAGGCTATCAACTATGTTATGGATCTGCGTGCGCATTTCCATAGGCATAAATGGAACTCTTTTGCACATATGGAGTATAAAACATAACTAACTAGTCCAATGAAAGCCACAATTACTTGGCTGTAACTTAAACAAATATTTGGATATTGTGTTATGTTATTTCAGGAAACACATCTAGCAATTCCAGTGTTTGGTAGGTGTGATTTTTGAATTGTAGAAAACACTGAATTCGTCTACTAGTCTATTCATGCACACTCAGAGGTACCCCATATCAAACTACACTATCAAGTATATAGATAAATCAAAATGTATTTTAAAATGTATAGGTGAGACTGTTATTAGCAGAGTTATAAGACCCAGTGCAGCTTCGTAACATACAGATTCAAAATAAATCCACACTTGGTATATGTAAGAGTTGTTTACAATATTCCAAGATGCATTCCAAGCCATTTTCACATGCAAATAACACTTGATATCTATAGGCTATCTGTAGTGCTCAAGGGGAAGACATTCCAGAGCAAAAATACTTTTAAAAACGGTTTACAAAGTCTTGTATGACAACAAACTCATAAACGCTGGAGTAATAGGTCCATAGTGATTTATTATAATACGTGAATAAGTTAATAAGCAGCTACATGTCTACAGATTGTGGTGTTAATTGCCTTAGGCCCAAATACTGCTAGTTTGCATCATGTACAGACTGAAGGTGTATGGTTTGAACAATCTTGGGCCATAGTTTATTCTAAGTCTTAAATGCAGACATTTTTATCTCAATATCAAAACATTTCTGGGTAACAATTAAGTATCTTACTGTGATTGTTTTAAATTAAAATGGTCAAAAAGAAACTAAAATAGCTTCTTAGCAAAGAGCAATTTCTCAAGCAGGAATTTATCTAGGACTGTCTGGGAGTGGTCTGAGCGTGGAGGATAAAACTGAAAACTAGCAGTTATTGGCAGAGAGGTTTGGAACTGTCTTTCTTATTGTTCTATTAATTAATTTACCGCCTCATGATGTCACCAGGCAGGCCAAAACTCCAACTCACCAAAACAGGCAGAAATGTCAGGTGGTCTTTTCAAACAGCTCTTACACTAAAAGGGCATTATCATAATTTTCACAATTTCACAGTATTATTCCAACCTCATAGTGTGGAAATATATATAAAACACAGGAAAATCACGTTTTTGACTGCGCTGTGCCTTTAATCCATGTCTCCATATTAGCATGGACCACTCAACTCTTTCCTATAGAAACAAGCCACATGGTGAGACCTTTCTAGATTTCATCCAATATAGAACAGAAAGATGCAGTGTAAAGCCTCACTCGGCCATGACTTTCAAGGAGAATGGAACCACACAAGATCCACCCACCGTTCTGGCTGCCATTACACTCCCGGACACCGGTGAGAAATGAGTGTGTGTGCATACCAAAACAGCAGCCTCCCCGTGATCTATTTTCTATACCACTCTGTCGCCCTATAGCGCGGCTGAAAAGGGCAATCCTATTGAACTTTTTTCAGACTGACGGTAGAAAAGGCTGGGGTTCATGTGGGGGACACGTTTTTCTGTGCCATTAGCTTCATTTCAGTCCTGGATGCTCGACCCTTTCAACGGTCTAACATGGCCTGTCAAGCTCCCTCGACTTGTAACGTGTGTGTGTGTGTGTGTGTGTGTGTGTGTGTGTGTGTGTGTGTGTGTGTGTGTGTGTGTGTGTGTGTGTGTGTGTGTGTGTGTGTGTGTGTGTTTGTGTGTTCGTGTGTGTGTCGTCAGGGGGTTACCTTGATTGTGGATGTTTGTTCTATATTAATTGACCTGGGAGGGTGTGTGATGTGACTTGTTAATTGTCCTGATGCTGTTGTACCTGTGACCTGTGTAGCTCATTATGCCATTATAACATACATGCGTGAGTAATGTCTGAAATTAATAGCCTATAACAATTCTTAGCTTATGATTATTAACTTGTAATAGGCCTACACCTTGAGCCATACATTGAAAACTTTGTATAGGCCTGTATAAAAACATACAAGGTTTTATGGGGAGAAATGGGTCCTGTGTGGCAGAGCATGGCGCATACAACGTCAGGATCGTGGGTTCGATTCCCACTGGTACCACCTATACCAAAATGTATGCAAGCACTATTGTAAGATACTTTAGATAAAAGTGTCTGCTAAATGACTAAAGTGTATTTTTAGGCCTATATATTTAACATCAAATAATATTAGCTAAAGACTTGTAACCAAATGACATCTAGTAGCCTAACTTGTGTTTTTTTAAAATCTATATTTATCTCACTGTCATCCTCTGAGTATAGAAGACTACCAAAGATACAGTATATCCAAGAAATGAAGTGTTATTTGCATGTGGAAAACATGTCGGATGCATTCGCTCGGTTGTTGGTGCATGGCCCACTCTCTGTATGCACATCGTACATAGCGGCTTTAAAACATTAAGAGGTGTTTAGCATTGGGGTTATTTTGTCCTAATGCGATCATCAATGCACACGTGTTCGTTCATACATCCAGTAGCCTAAAATGTTTTACCGTATCACCTCCTATATACTTTCCCAAGTGTCTTTGACGGGACAGAGAGAGATGAGTGTGTCTGTCAGGCTTGAATTGACACGTCCATCCCATTTTAATATTGCCAAAAATAATCGATATCTATGACCACCATCATTGCATTTGCTAATAAAAAAGCAGAGTTAGAAAAGTGTTCAGGGACAATTGATAGGTTCTCCAACAACGAAAACACACAAGGTCGTGATAAGAGCCTAGAACATGGCTATTTTTATTTATTTCTACAACTCTATAACAAATATTTTTCAAACAGGCTGTCTGCATCAGCCTTTTCGATTTAATGAATTTTTAAGGATTTCAGAATGTGTTGAACAAACCGAGTAGGTTTTTCGAAATGATGCGGATTATTTTTCTTTCTTTCTTTTTTCCTTTCTGTCGATTCTGCTTTTTGGCCACCTCTCTATCCCTCAAAAGGACATTTGGTTAAAAAAAGTAATCAATTGGTATAATTGACTTCCCTTGTCATAATCATTATTACTAAATGATTGCCCCATACCTCTCACATTGGAACTTTTTATTTAGCCCTAGCCTTCCTCTTGATTAGCCTACTAAATGGACTGAAATATCATGGGTTTAGTTACCTATTTGGACAGCTGTGTTGATAT